TTCAATGCCCATATCAGAGAAATTCAGGAATGAAAATGACGTTACATATGAGGTTGATGCATCTGTGCATGTCGTACTAAGCAAGGTATAAAAACAGTTGCTTTATGAGGAATTAGTTCGTACCATTGAATATTTGACGCAATAGACAAGGTGTCGCAGAAACCGATGTTGCTATAACCAAGTTTTACTGTATTTCCAAATATGACACATTTGACTTGCCTTGCCCATGGGCTGCACCATGTTGCAGAAACAATTCTTGCAAATTTTCCGCTTGTTGACAAGTTGGTGTCTTCTGTGAAGAAGGTATTTGATAAAGCGCCATACAGAAAATGAGCCTTTAAAGCACCAGCATTGAGTGCTCCACTTCTGCCTGAACCAATTTTAACGCGCTGGAGCACGTGACTGTGTGCAGCAAGTTATTATACCAAACATTTAGAAACAGTTAGGAATGTCGTGAATACGTTTGATCCCAAAAGTGCAGCATCAATTCAAATTGCCCAAGATGTACTAAAAAACGCAGAACTAGAAACTAATCTTTCCTATATATCTGCTCACTTCTCTCATCTTTCATCCGTCATTTCCTCACTGGAGGCAAGCAATAGCAATACTACTTTGTATCAGTCATTAAGTGTGTTCAAAACCATTGTTTCCAAATTGAATTCAGTTCCTGGAAGAGTTGGTGAAGCAGTAAAGGAAGAAGTACACAGTATTCTTTAAAAAAAATCCAGGATATGAACAAATTTGTGAAATTGAAGAAATTTTAGCCAGTAAATGTACTAAACTGCCAAGTAAAAAATCACTAACAGTGGAGCAAACAGTGGCTTTTGTACATGTGCCTCTAAGCTCCTGTACTAAGCTACTCTGTAGACGAATACCTCAATGTAAATAGAGAATAATGTAGAATTAAGCTCTATTAGTTTAAGATAAAATTGCTTGTACCAGTAGGTATTATTTTGACTTGTTCTATATCCAGAGGTATTAACCTACTTAGGATCTATGGAATGCAAATAAATTCAATTCAATTCAATTCAATTCAAAAGAAGTCTTTCCCGCTATAAGGACATCTTATGAGACAGTAGGAGGCGACTAACAATGGAAAACCTAAAACATTTAGTAACTGTGAACTGCAACAGAAGAGAAGTCCATGATTTATTTAATCCGTCTTGCAGTGCATACACTCATTTAACTCCTTCTCTCCCTCGCACTACATGTTTCGGCATAATAATGCCATCTTCAGTACAGTATAACACACGCAGTCGCAGGAGCACGACACAACAAAAGCACAACACACAAGATAGTGAAGGAGTGCTCCAACAAAGGAGAATGGGCGTGACTGACGTAGTGAGGGGCGACGTAGCGNCACGATTTGTATTTAAGTATAGCTTTTTATTGCAGGTGAATCATTAAGTGATTACATAAAATGAACTTAAATATTGATTTGTTGGTCTTAAAATAATGTAAAATCAATTTTAATATTTGGTATAAATTTTTATGTGCATATTTTAGTGCATATTTCAGAAGTTTTTCATGCATAAATGCATACATATTTAAGGGATTATTAGGGCATAAAAATCCAGTCCCTAGTTGTAACTTTCAGGTTTCATAAATTGCTGGGGAATTCTTGAGTCACTGCACAACTGGAAGCTTCTCAAGGAGGGCTGAGCTCCATGAGTTATTATAAATAATACATACCGATACAATATAAAGTATATTATGATTTACTGTTTTTTTCTATGTTCTTATATATTTACATTTTGTTTTCATGTTTTGTTAAGCCATAAACCTATTTCCATATTTTTCACTTTCAACACTGTAAATTCCAAATTTTCTTAAGTTTACAGGACTGTAACCCTCACAAATGTGATGAGTTCACTGTAATAACTGTAACATACCATCATGAAAATCCTTTGCCACTGAAATATCTTATGTCAAGAAATATCAAGTGGTTATGGATGCAGTGGTCACAGACTACTCTAAGGTACCAATCTGGTGGTTGGCCAAAGAACTGATGAATAACACAACAAGCCTCAACACCAAGGGACCTTAAAGACGAAAACAAGACTGAAGATAATAATTAAACCCTTCACATAACATGGGGTGTTCAATTTATGATGCTCTGAACATGCTTGGGAAGTGGTAAACAAGCTGAGTTTTCTCAGGAAATCTGGCAGGTTTACAGCAATGCAACGATATCCTACAATGGAAACCCAGTAAAATACAATGTTCAGGATCTAACTTAAACTGTTGCTATAATAACACCTTCAAAACTGTAAAATGTGGAAGAGTGGAAAACTTATTTAAGAACATTCATAGTGATTACAACACACCCTACTTATATTTGGATGACCCATAGATTCCTGTGGCTTTGTATATACCAAAGAGGGGCACGCAAAGACAGTATCATAAACAAAATACAAAGAAATGGGTTACATTCTACAGTTACAACATTACATGCAAAACCACTCCATCCTGCACCTATTTCATTATGCCTCTATCTCTGGAAAACTATTCATGTGAGCCAAGTACTGTATATAAGGGTTCCTTCACAGCAGCTCATACTTTGACTGCTATGGTGATAATGGCCTCAGTCAGGAGTGCAAGACAATATCTGGCGCATTTGTTTTAAACAAACACACAGAACTTCAATTAATATACATTTTTAAAACATGCTGTGTAGATCCTTATTCCAGAACTTATATCTAGGCGCAGTGCAAGGCAAGGTCAAGTGGCTAACATAATGTGGTTTGTGAAATTAGGAATTTCACCCCACACAAACTGCCTTCATGAAAAAACTCATGAGACAGCTGAAATTCAAAACATGAGCCCGCATAAGAGTAGACACAGGATGAATGCACTGTATAATATGCAGTAACAACTTCAACCACACTTCGTGGTATAACCTGCATTTTCATACCTTTCATATGTACTTTCAGTGGACCTGTGGTCAACAAAGAGTATGGTCTTCTGGGTGGTAAAAACATGCAGTCAAGACAGAGCCTGTCATTCCCCCAAAACACTGGGGTCTGGGTTTCTCCTAACTTCCTGTCACAGCCCGCAAGACACTACTCTGCATACTTATCACTGTAAGGACCTCAAACCCAACACTGAGGTCAATAATTTTCCATCATATACTGTCTACTTTACATAACAATGCGAGAGTATACAGACATCACAAATTTACATTTGAACTGTCATCTGTAATGAACAAGTACAAAAATTGAAATACATTTCCGTAGCTTCTTGGAATATTAGTTTACAAAGTCATTACACACCCTGCAGGCAATTTAGCTGTATCCACATACATATGCGGTGCAGGGAACTGTTTCTGTTTAGTCTTTTTCCAATTCTGAGTCACCGTGTTTCTCTTACAGACATGTATGACAAATATACAAGGGGAAGTCAATAATTATCTGCAATGCAGTTGTATTTGTGTTTCTGGTGCAGCACTGTTGTTTTTTGCAGCATTGCCATGTGTGGTTTCCTTGTCACTATTTCTGCATAGGTTTGATGTTGCTAGGTCAGTTCTATCGTCGCTGCCTTACCGTTAATCATGGCTGCTCCGCTTTCTGTTTGCACCAAAGAAGAGCAACGTTCAGTGATCCGGTTTTTGTCGTCGGAAGGTGTATCAGGGGCCGCAATTCATCAAAGACTTTCAGCACAATATGGGAAGTGTTTTGCCGCAACAGAGTGTCTACGAATGGATTGAAAAATTCAAAAATGGTCGCACAAGTGTTATGCATGAGGAAGGAGCCAGACGACCATCCACGGCCATAAATGAGGACAACATTGAGTGTGCACATGACATGGTTCTGTTAGACAGCCGAGTGACTAGTGATGAAGTGGCAAATTGACTGCAAATTAGTCATGGTTCTGCCTACAAAATCATCCACAACAGACTTGGATTTCATGAAGTCTGTGCCAGATGGGTCCAAAAACTCACAGTACTGCATAAACAAACATGCTTGGACATCTGCCAACAACATTTGTATCACTGTCTGTAATGTCTTCTTAGATAGAATCATCACTGGTGACAAAACATAGATCCATCATTGCGAGCTGGAGAGTAAACGGCAGAGTATGGAATGGAAATATCCACAATCGTCCAGCAAGAAAAGGTTCAAAAGCCAACCATCTGCTGGAAAACTGATGCTTACAGCTTTTTGGGACTCACAAGGCCCAGTACTGGAACATTATCAGGAGAGGGGCACAACAATAAACAGTGCTCATTACAGTGAGATGCTTACTGACAGGCTAAAGCCTGCAATTCGAAGCAAACGCCAAGGACTACTGTCGAAAGGTGTTGTGTTGTTGCACGACAATGCCCGTCCACATACTGCTGAAACCCTCTGGAAACTCAAGTTTGATGTAATGGCTCATCCTCCGTATAGGCCTGATCTCGCCCCTTCTGACTACCACTTGTTTGGTCCACTCAAAGAGGCATTAAGGGGCCGTCAATTCACCTCGGACCAAGAAATGAAGGAAGCGGTGCATTCGTGGCTCGCTGCTCAGCCCAAAACCTTTTTTTCTGAGGGCATCAGGAAGCTTGTCCAACGTTGGACCAAGTGCGTTGAAAAGCAAGGGAACTATGGTGAAAAATGATGTTAATGTAAGTTTTCTATTTGTATTGAAATAAAATTTATAGCTACATTGCGGATAATTATTGACTTACCTACATACCACATCTAGTGATTCTCCATTAATGTACAATGTACAATTCAAATCTGTAATAATTCTAGTATATGTAATCACACCTTCAACATTGCAGAATTATGATACTGGCTCAAAAAAAAATTTACAATCCTTTAATATTGTAACTGAACCAAATACTGCATATTTATAGTAATATCCTTAACATATTACCTCATAAATTTTGTAAAAATGAAATTGTACCAATCCATAAAACACAGAAACACGTTGCATAATATTATACACATCACAGGGATTCAAATTTCAGTCTCAAGCAAGGATGCTACTTGAAAAAAATTAATTCGTATTAACGCTCAATCTGCTTCTCCTTCATCACCATCCTGTTCAAAACAATCAGAAGAGTCTGGCTGGGAACCCAAGACTTTCATTCTACCTATTCCAGGCAAGGAGTGAGCTTCTTCTTCGAATCTGCCCACAAAAGCTGCATCTACAGCCTTTATCTGATTTAAAAGTTGTTCCCGTTCGGCAACTCCCCAACTTTCTGACCATTCTCGAAACAACTTAATGCGACACTGAAACAAGCTAGGTGGTCGATCATCCCTACATTCGAGCCCTTCAACTCCAGATACCAATCCGTTTACGTAACCTGCAGGAGCAAACTGTTGAGCCAATACAGGTAAAAAGTCTCCGCGCTGCATTTCGCTCCATTCACTAAACCACTCCACCACATATTGTACCTGAGCCTGAACAGGAGGCCTGTATCCTGTACTGGAATCCATTTTCTGTATAGCCACATGAAAGTTTATGAACTATTCATATATATAATCAAATACATCTTCGCTTGTCACAATATCGACTCTCTGGAAATAAGCATTAATTTTAGTTCTGTAAATTTCTGTCCATCACAGTTAACAAAAGCGACCATTATTTAAACTGCCTACCGCAAAACCCTCAACCTGCCTCAACACCCACACCGACCGACACTACCGCACACGCTACCCACGCTACCAACCTAACAACCGCTATCACCTGCTTATGAGCCTTATGAGCCACCATCAACGTTCATTACGTATCACAGATCGATGATATCGATTGCCCCCGGCTGCATGGAAGCGCGGCAGCCGAGTACGGTTGTTGATCGAAGCCCTTCATCAGCTCTCGCGCATCACCATGAAAATTGAATGTACAGCGGCTGCATTTGTGTTGATGTTCAACATTTTCGAATAAAATAATAATAAAAAAAAGTGCATTGGTGGATGAAGGAATTATATCGTCAACGAATGCAATATGTAAATAGACATGCGAGATATGACATTTCAATTAGTGGAAGATACAGTTAAAATTTTTACTCGAATGTCATTATCGGATTTCGAACACACAACGTAATTGATCAAACCAAGTGTGAAAAAAAAATGGAAACCTTATTTCGAGAAGCGATTACTGTGAGGGAGAGGATGGTTATTACTTTGAGATTCTTACCCACCGAAGACTCCTATACAAGCCTGCAATACCTTTTCCGAGTGTCCGAACAAAGTACGTATGTCAAGAATAATGCCCGAGGTTTGCGATGCTACCATCGAGGCCCTGAAAAAATGTATTAAGGTAAGTCAAAATAAAACATCAGATTTTCAGATTAGTATGTATTTATTTTTCAAAGTACTGGCAAGAGTTAATCACTGAATTAGTGGCATTTCCAATTTTAATTGAAAGCTTTAGGCAATTTTTGGAGAGAAATATCCAATAGTTTCTTCAAGAGTTGTCGCTCCAACAGCTTCGTTTTCCTAATTATCTTGCTGGGTTAGATAGGTAGTACAGGTAGCTGATGATATTGATTGTACAGAAGTTGTAGATGGAGTTGGAGTCCTTATTATACTTTCTGATCGTCGAGACTGACTGTAATTTTGTGCGTAATATCCATAAGAATATTTTCCCATATCGGCTTCGAAAATAACATTATTAATTGCATGCTTCATTTGTGTTAAGGTGTTTGGGTCATATTTCCTGAGCTCGTTGGCCATGTTTGCTATATGTAAAATATGGGTCTGTCGGTGTGGATACACTGGACTTGAGGATATCAAAAGCTTCCAGTAGCATTGTTTGATTTTCTTCTTTAGCTCCGGCGTTGGCAGACTTAATATCTGTGCGGGCCCTTTTATGTCGACGTGCTTTTGGCGCTTATGGTATTCTAGAAGGCGTTATTCCTTCAACAGCAACAGCAAGGTCATTTTCATTTTCGAGCCCCGAGGTTTCGGCGCTGTGTGATATTCCAGGCTACTGAAAAAATCATAGATCTAAAATATATTTATATTTTACAGGTTCCAACTTCGGAAGAAGAATTTGAGAAAAAGTGGGACTTCCCACATGCTATAGGTGCTATGGACGGGAAACGCGTTATGTTACAAGCACCTATGAACTCTGGCACAGAATATTATAACTACAAGCATTTTTTCAGCATTATCTTATTTGCTCTAGTTGAGGCGGACTACACTCTTCCTTATGTTGATGTAGGCTGTCAAGGCAGAATATCTTACGGCGGTGTCTTAAAAAATACTCAACTATTTTAAAAACGTCAAGAAAATTCATTGAAAAATCCGCCACCGACAATACTTCAAGTACCGTTTGCAGTTAAACTTCCCTTTTATATTTTTACCGTCCCTCCTTTGCCTCTTGCCGTTGTCGCCGTTGTCGCCGCTGCCGTCGTTGGGCTCGCAGCTAGGTCAGTCTTTACCTGGCTCTACCACTTCTCTTCACTGTGGGAATGGATATCAGGTCCTGGACTTGACCTGGCTTGTCAGTGGGTGCCGGTAACTGTGGATACAGCTGCGAAGTGAAGGGAAAAGATGGAGGGGTTGGGGATCTGATGGTGATCGGGCTAGTCGTGGGTGGAGTGAGACTCTGGCTCAGGTCTTCTCGGGCCTTACTCCAACGGGGAGAAAGGAACACACTGGAAACACAAGCATTTGGCACCACTTCCTTTATTGTTTTTGTAATCTTGGAGTCACTGTTACCACTTTTATAGAATCGAGCGCCACTCGGGCAGAAAAGGCGGAACTGCCGTTGCAGTTAGGAAAGACATGCCCCTTAACCATGTAGACCTACCACCCCTTATTTCAGTAGAAGCGACAGGGGTCTGCATACCAGTTGGTAACAGTGAAGTACTGCTTACAGCTGTTTATAAATCCCCAGGCAGGGCCTGGAGTGATCCTGATATCACAGGGCTCTTAAGCTTTAGACGTAAGTCTATTTTGGCAGGTGATTTGAATGCTAAACACCAATTTTGGAATAGCGGAGTTTCAAACCCCTCAGTCTTGAAACTTATGGATTTATTTGCTACGAGTGATTTCGAAATCTCAGCACCACAGTGCCCCACTCATTATTCCCCTGCGGGAAATGATGATGTATTAGACATTGTGGTTCACAAAAATATCAGAGTGTCAGATGTCATCGTCTCTGATATTTTGGACTCAGATCATCTACCAATAATATTCAACATACTGGATCACGTTAAAATTAGGAAACTTTCGGAGCCCATTGAAAAATTTACAGATTGGGAGCGGTTTCAAAGCCTCGCTTCTGAATTAATATCACCTAAACTAGAAATTAATTCGGGAGTAGAAGCCGATAAAGCGGCACGCGACTTTGCAGCCTCTATTGCTTCGGCATATAGGCTGTCGACAAGTAAAGTTACACTTTCGGACATAAACAACGATCTTCCTGGTCTAGATCGTTTGATAAAATATAAACAGAGGCTACGAAAACTGTGGCAAGAAACCAGGGATCCAGCGTGTAAAACGGCAGTCAATTGGGTCACCAAATCAATCAGGCGAATGACCCGTAAAAAGGCACTTGAACGGTGGGAAACAAAAATAAGCAACGCTGAAGTCACACCTCAGTGTATATGGCCCATTGCGAAATCTCTCCTTAAGAGAGACGGACCAAGGGCACCAACTGCTATTCATGGTTCTTCTGGCCTAAAATTTCATCCTTCTGAAAAAGCCAATGAAATTGCCGACTGTTTGGAAATTCAATTCACGCCACATGACCTGTGCGACGAAAACCATGAACAGCGGGTGGAGGCTAGAGTTCAAGCTCTGCTGGAAGCCGTGGATGAAAACCCCCCTCTAAGGATCAGACCATGTGACGTTCAGAAATTAATAAAATCCCTGAAATTAAAAAAGGCCTGTGGAATTGACGGCATCCCAAATGAATGCCTCAGGCACCTTCCAAGGAGACCATTGGTTCACCTAACTCACTTATTCAATCACTGTTTTCGGCTCTCTCACTTTCCAAATACTTGGAAGGAAGCAAAAATAATAACTTTACCTAAACCGGGTAAAGACCCGAAATTTCCTCAAAATTTACGTCCGATCAGCCTCCTGTCCACGACAGGAAAACTATTCGAAAAAGCAATTTTGAAATTCCTCCATAAACATATTGAAGAAAGAGACCTGCTCAACGCAAGTCAGTTTGGTTTTCGTGCACGTCACAGCACGACATTGCAATGTATGAGGCTGGCGGACCACGTGACCCTTAATTTCAACAATAAAATGTCTACGGCTGCAGTGTTCTTGGACATCGAAAAAGCCTTTGATACCACGTGGCACTCAGGCTTGCTGTTTAAATTATCAAAATTGGAATTCCCCAACTCTTTGACCAAGCTTATTGGGTCCTTTCTCTCTAAACGTAAATTCAGGGTCTCTGTTGAAGGCGAAATGTCAACGCCAAGGGAAATACAAGCAGGGGTGCCACAAGGTTCTGTCCTTTCCCCTACTCTCTTTAATTTGTATATAAATGATGCCCCCCATACACAGGGCGTTCACCTGGCCCTCTTTGCAGACGACACCTGTCTGTATGCGACAGATCGCAAAGAGGGTTTTATTGTTAGAAAACTCCAGCGCGGTCTCAGCTCAATGGAGACCTGGTGTGAGCGCTGGAATATAAAAATTAATGAAGATAAGACTCGTGGGGTCTACTTCTCTCGTGGTCGTCGACCGCCTGAGTCTTGTCTTACTCTAAATGGAAGAAACATTCCATTTGTAAATAGTGCAAAATATCTAGGTGTAATCTTCGATAAGAGAGTGACTTGGAGATTACACATAGAAATGATCGAAGCCAAGGCCTTCAGAACATTCATTAGAGTGTATTCCCTATTCAAAAATGAGCGATTGAGCGCTAACATTAAACTAACCCTCCATAAAGCCCTTATTAGATCCATAATGACTTATGCTAGTCCCGCCTGGGAGTTTGCGGCAGACACTCATCTATTGAAATTGCAGCGCCTGCAAAACAAGGTTCTCCGCACGATTGGCAATTTTCCAAGGCGCACACCGGTCCGCGATTTGCACATGGCATTCAAAATCCCGTACGTATATGATTACATAACAAAATTATGCAGGCAACAAGCAGAAGTCATACAAAATCATGATAATGAGAATGTTCGCAACATCGGACAAGGCGAAGCCCGACACAGAAAGTATAAGAGGCTTAAACTTGGCGGCGGTCAGGCGTACGACCGTTCGAGTGACTAGACTGCCGTGGTAGCTAATACTACTAGGATATATATATAAAGGGCATAATCTGCTGTACCTGGCCTGGACTGACGGAGGCCGTGTATATATTGTACATTTAAATAAGAAATAAGTGTATTATAAATATGTGTAAATACAGACAGTTGACTTAGTACTACAGACTGACTAACAAATGACAGACCTGACCTCTCGTCAGAGAGGGCGCTACACATAGACAGGATAGTAACTTTCACTCAAAGAAATATCTGGTCATGAGCCCCAGCTGGTGCTCGACACCAAGACAGACAGACTGACTGACCGTCAGTTGCAACGTGACTCAGACTCAGACTCAGTAAGGGGATTATTCTAACAGTAATTTTGGCCAAGTGCGGCCGAAGGCCATGTCAGAATGGGCACCGACTAGACGCCAGGCAACACCATCCCTCTGCAGACTCAACAAGTAAGTGGAAACTACTCTTATCGCCATGCTTAATAATTGTGATATTATTAAAGTGTAACCCCTACAATGGGACTTGAGTTAGGAACGTTACAACAAGTGTACAGGGCGTAAGAGTGATCCAACGGAGTGATGCAGAAGTAGACAGGTGTAATGTAGAGACTGCAGAGGGTGTGTCTAGCAGCAGGGATGTGTAGATATATATACAGTGGTTGAGTAGAACAGGAGAAAGAAGAGACTAGCGACCCGCAACTGGGTGAAAAGAGAGAAAAAGATGAGGTCCAAGAATAGTCTAAGAAAGTGTAATGTGTAACCTGACACCAGTCGGCTCTTTCATTGTGATAGTACCAAAATGTATATAACTGTATATTGCTTGTTTATACTAATATAGGGTAGCATAGGGTGAGGATGTGGGTTTCTGTTGTGATTTCCTCCCTTACCCCATTTCGCACCTGCGCCCTCCTGCCGAGCCCGGTGAACAGTGTGCCCCCAGCCAATGAAGCAACGGTAGAGGAAGCAATTCAGTCGTTTCCTTAGCCCTACCCCTGTGACTGCAGTACAGAAGGTGACAGCGGGGATATCTCCACGCCCCCCTGTCACCACGGAATAACTGGTGGCATAACAGTACAGTAAAATACTTATGATGATACATGAAACCTTCAGGTTTCATACGATTTCGGAAATGGTTTCAGTAATATCAAAGTAGGTATAAAAATTAAATTTGATGATTTGACATTTTAAATTAATAAGAGTAAATGTTTTCTCAAATTGTAGTGTTCTGGGTCATGATACTATGTACTCTCATATATGACAGCAAAGTTTTGGAGGAACATGCTGCTTCCGTCTTCAGAGTCACAACTGGGAAGATAACAATCGTAACAATCACCACTGTGAAAACCTCACAACTGATATATAATTTAAAGTTTTCATAGCAACTAAATGTGACGAGCCATATGATGATGGGATTAGTATCCAAAAATCTGCAGAATGACTTGGTCTCCATCATAACACCCAACACTGATGATGGTGACTGAGGCAGTCCTCAGAATGTTGGATACTAACTCCATCTTCATGTGGCTGATCACCCAAGAAGACTTCATCTCAAAACTTGCATTAGTAAACGTTTTATTTCAGCTGATAATTATATTTATGGATACTATTAAGTAAAACTTTTTCAACAGAACATACTTATGCAAGATGGTACTCAAAGACATCATAAGTGTGTTGTGTCACTGAAATTTAAAGGATAATGGGTATCAGTTGTGATAAGTACAATTATGTATATAAATATAATATGTCATAACTTAAAGCAAAGAAAATAAAAGGCGAGTATAGTACTTAGAAGGAATTTCATCCCCATAAAAACTGTTTATTTTTGGTTTAATAGTAGCTGCTGTGAATGTATTTTACAAATCCAGTCTTTTGTTTTAGGTAAAGATACAACTGAACATGTCGGATATTTACATGGTACAGTCATGTTAGTGGAATGTGGTTTCATTGCATATTACAAGGTGTTCACATAACTTATACAGATCCACATCGGCAATCAAAATAGTCACCGTTGGCCGCTATGCAAGTCTGCCAACGTTGATATAGCTGCAGAAAACATTGCTGAAACATATTGGCAGGAAATTCCCGTACGGCGTCTCTTGTAGCAATGACGACCTCCTCGGACGACTGAAAGCTACGACCACGTAGCTTTGCTCTCACGCAGTGAAAGAGAAAGAAATCGCATGGTGCGAGATCAGGTGATTACGGAGGGTATGGCAGGATGGTGACCTGTTGCCTTGCCAGTTCCTCTTAGACAAGAACAGAGCGATGTGCAGGGACGTTGTCGTGTAGCAACAGCCAATTCTTCCTACGCCAAACGTTTCGCCAGGGGATTTGCCTAGTTTTTGGCAGAACTTGATGTTTGCCCCTTCTTCAAACTGTCACATTTTCGATTTCTGCCACTTGCACTTAACTGCAATTCACAATAGAGGCAGTAGTTCGGCCTACACTGTTTGCACACAACTGCCTCTTTCTGTGACGAGGGATGGACTGACAGGGCATCATATCGTGCCTCAACCTATCCGCTGTAGTGCACTTCAAGGACACTTTGCAGCCAATCCACGACTATGGTAGTATGTAGAAGGAACTATAATAAATGTCGCGTGTGAGAGATTGGTATTTTCACACATAGACTCGGGGTGTTAGGAGTGTGACACCACGTCTAAAAACGTGATAGCTAACGTAAATTTTGCTGCCACCAGATAACTGTACTGGGTCATCGCCAGGTAACGATGATAGTGTTACTAGTAATCAATTAGTTACTAGTAATTCAATCATGTAGGTTGTGCTGGCCAGCAGTGATGTTGTAGAACTCTGCCTGCTGAAGTCGGGTAGCTGGTTGTTGAACCGAAGCGTTGGAAGCGTGCAGGTGGGAAAGACCCCGTGAAGTACTTGGAGCGTGAAATCAAGTGGATAATGCGAACTTGTACGGTAAAACCAAACACTTAACTAAATCAAGACATAGAGTTACAGTATACAGATTTGGAGTCAAACCCCTGACCCCTCGAGAGCAGTACGCTCTCCGACATAACTTATGTTACAAGCAGTTTCGTAGTATGTACTTTCATCATGATGCCTCGAAGCTTAAGATCTTATATACTGCAGCCTTCGGGCGTGGGAACAACCGCACGATATACTGATGTAATGAGTCTTCCGGACAAAATGCCCTGTGGGTAGCGACCAAATATGGTCATCTAGCTCAGCTATTTCTCAGTAAAATGATATCAGCTTTAGGGCTGTGTGCCGAGCATATGACTTCATTACTTGATTGCTTCATAAATGTTTACATTAGGTTTATGCTACACTCGAAGAACGTCTTAAAAGGTTTCATGTTCTTTTAACTTACTGAACTCATTAAAACTTCATAAAACTTAAATCTCCCCTAAAATAGGGTTACCTCATTACCAGTTTAGTGAAACCTCATTACAGAACTAATTTTTAATTAAATATGGTACTACATTATTTTGCAATCCTTTTTCACTTTTCCAATGAACAAATTATTTCAACAATTTCAAAAACCATGGAAAGAACTAGGGCAGTAATATTTGTTGAAGAATTCAATGACATAAAACCATGAGTATTTAATAGCTGCTTTCCGTAAATATGAATGAGATCTACTGGTGTTTTCTTTTCTTTGGACAAGCACTTTCATCCTCATCTTCATCTCCATCATCTTCCTCATCTGCACTGTCTGAAATGCAAAAGATGACCCTCACATGTAATGTACAATGATTTTAGATAAGCAAATACGACTAAACTTTTGACCAGAGTGACACACTGTTATTACGTAGGTCGTACCGAAAGTCATGTACAACTTTTTTTTTGCGTGCAACCTGGGAACAGCAGATGAAAGAGAGTATGGTGGTAGGTGGAACCAGCTGTTGTGTTAACCTTGAGTGTCTTGTGACGTCAATAACTTGCATCATGTGACCAGTATCACTCCTAACAAAATGGCCGACAACCATATGTGGTTTCGCCAGCGTGCTGTCATCGAATTTCTTGTGAAAGAGGAAATCCCTGCTGCAGAAATTCACCAGACTTCAGCGTGCTTATGGAAGTGTGTGCATGGGTGCGAGCAGCGTTCGAAGATGGGCGAAATATTTTAAAGATGGGAACACCAGCATCGAAGATGAGCCTCGGAGCGGTCATCCTCGAACAGCCTCAACTGAACGCAACAAGGAAAGAGTGGATGAGATCATTGAAGATGACAGGCGTGTGACTGTGGACACAATAGCCCAAAAACTTGGAATATGGCACAGTGCAGTACAGGAGATGACTGAAAGCTTGGGCTATAGGAAAGTGTGTACTCGTTGAGTCCCGCGGTTATTGACCGAAGACCACAAAAGTCAGCGAAAAGCCATCGCCTCAGAACTGCTGCAGAGATATCGACACGAAGGCGATGATCTTTTGCTCTGTATTGTGACGGGTGACAAATGCTGGTTTCATCATTTCGAGCCTGAACCGAAACGGCAGAGTATTGAATGGCACCATTTGCATTCTCCATCAGAAAAGAAGGCAAAGACAGTGCCATCAGCTGTGAAGGTGATGGGCACAGTCTTCTGGAATGCAGAGGGGTATATTCTGGCCGAATTTCTGGAACCTGGGCAAACCATCAATGCTGCTCATTATGTCCAGACGCTGCATAAGCTCCATCGTGCATTGCGCGATAAATGTCCGGGACGAAACATCATCATCCTGCATGACGCTCGCCTCACATTGGAAGAAATTGCAAAGATGAAGTGGGAAGTTCTTCCACACCCCTCCTACAGCCCTGATCTGGCACCCTCTGACTACCATCTTTTCAGATTTGTGAAGGATCAGGTGCGTGGACGTTTTGAGACAAGGGACGCAATTAAGAAAGCAGTGCATCAGTGTCTTCAGATGGCTGGAACGGAATTTTACAGAAGAGGAATTTTGAAACTCCCAGAACGCTTGGGAGAAATGTGTACAAAGAAGTGGCGATTATGTGGAAAAATAAAGAAAGGTCTGTATATTGAGGTGGTGTATTTTGTTGGTCAATAATAAAGCATGCTACTTTACAAAAAATTGTTGCTCATGACTTTCAGTATGACCCTCGTATTAACGTCATTATGTATCACGCCTTGTTATGCCGCAAATTTAAAAAAAAGGGAAATTTGAGGCACTGCCCCAATGTTACGACAATTGCTAAGAGTTTGCACAACAATCAGGGTAAGAATGGCAACACCTAGACTGTAGATCTAGGTCAGGAATATTTGTACCCAGCAGAGATGCGTAATCGCACAGGCAGGATGCTCGCCAGACTAGGCCACTGGAGTAAATGAAATTATTGAATACACAGCGACGAGACGCTGCGAGTTCGTCCGCGACAAAAGGGGTAGGCTAATGGGAACCCACCACCCAGAAATTTAGGGCAAAGGGAGGAGTTAACTTCCCTCTTATGTCAGTTGCTGCGCCAGCCGCTAGGGGGTATAAAGACCCGAAGGAAAGGGGGGATCGATCAAAAAAATGTAATATTCGACAAGCAGCCAAAGGCTCTGCTCGGCATGGGTGTTACTAGATGGTGGATGGCGATACTTGTCTGCGTCTCTATTTCAAGTAGGTCAATTTGCTCATATTAGCCATGTCACTTAAATTTACTGTTGTGGTGAAATTGTGAAAGTGCAACCTGCAGTGTGCTCTGCGAGTTTGGATAGGCTAGGGTAGAGACTACGCCAAAGAGGGTAGAAAATAAAGGGAAGGACAGTCGCAAGCCTTACTCCCTAGGTGGGAGATCAGAATGAAGGAGAGTTAGTTAACAAGCTGATACGATGTAAACCGACAGAACGTTGGCATTTCTATATTGTAAATAAGAGTGTAAATAGACCAATGTAGTTAGGATAGGATGTACCAGAGTTGTGATTCACCCCCACGCACTAAACCTTCCCCAGACCGATCCGGAGCTATCCTAGTCCCGGCGAAGGCAGAATTGACCTCAGGCAGCCAACAACAGCCAAATGCAATGCGCAGTTAGGGTGAGAACCTGAGTTAAGGCAGTAACGACACCCCAGTCCTTGGGGGCGTGAAAGTTAATGGGTAGAGTCGGGTTAGAACCTACATGCCCACTTTACGCCATTACAAAGTGGTGCCAGTGATGGAGGGGCCAGCCAACAAAAGGATGGCGACTGAGTAATTTAGTATTATTTCATTAGCCCCCCCTTCAGGCACAACACTCCTAATTATGACGAATAGAAATCATATTCCTACAGCTCACAGGCATACCTCACAGCGATGTCAAATGGAGTCCCTCACATGACCGAGTTCCTTAGGTTGGTGCCTACTCTTTACTGTGCCTAGGATGTGACCAATGAGGTTACTGTGATCTTTTACTTCCATAGCATATATATGTATATTCTTCTTATGAAATGGGAAGATTGGGTTGAACAGGAATGGACGGTTGGATGAGTTAGTGGATTCATGCTGATAGGTCTCAGTGGACTGTGAAATGAAATTCATCGGTTATTGAGTGTGTGTTTGGGGTTTAGTGACTTCATGCTTTGCGATCAAATCTGGCAGTGACCAAGTCTGAGTCTGTTGCTCTTTAGTGTGTGCATTCCTTCTAGGATAGAACTGAATATCTGTGGTCTGACTGAATTGCAACTATAAACTAATATAAGAGTGGTGCGGCTGGTGTGTCAGTGGTAGGGTCGTCCCGTCTGCATATGGACTGGTAAGCAGGCAAAATGACGGAGCCGACAGTGTGTGATATATGCTGGAAGACAACCGTGGCGTCCTTTGAGAAGCCGCATGACGATTTAACGGCAAAGAATTCTGTCAGAAAGAAATAGAATTACTGTGTAATGGCCTACACACAATAGCGCAGCTTATCCTTACATCGCCCTCTGTTAATGGAAACGGCACAGTATGGAAAGAATTAATCACCAAATCCGAGGCCGAGAGGAGAGTGCTTTGTAAGCAACTCGTCGGAAAGGCGCTCTTCACAGCCATTCTGCGCATGTACGCTGCCATATGCGAGACTCGCTGCTCCAAATACAACAGATTTAATCACCTGAGGAATTTCGCGAACAAAGGAGATGCAAGCGAAACTCCTCAGAAGAACAGCCGAAAAGACCAAAACCGACACCTGGACCTAGAGACCCTAGGATACGATCCCAAGGTGAGGCACTGTTAAAAAACTTCTTCGCGCCCCTGAGCACATCAGGAATGGAAGTCGTGGAGGATACAGATAAAGAACAATGGCAGCCATCATACAAGGCAGGTAGGCCACCTACCACTGTGCTACCCTCTACGACCGACCTGATGCGGTTGCAGAGGAAAGTCAAAGGCATTGTTAACGGGCAGTTCTGAGTTCCACAACACCAGGAGCGGGACCAGAATTGTGACAAACGAAATGGCGGACTTTTCAGTCATCAAGAAATTCTTAGAGGATAACAACCTTTCATACTTTTCCTATTCTCCAAAATCAGAAAACCAATCAAAGCTGTCATCCGTAACCTCCAACAGAATACTCCAGCTAAGGATATCTCTGACGGCCTGGTGAGTCTGGGGTTTGACGTTATTAGCGTCAAACAAATGACAACAAGTCATCGGTCACCTGAAGGAACAAATACTATCGACCTTCCCTTGTTCCTTATCACACTACCAAGAACGGAGAAGTCCCAATAACTCTTCCGATTGAACAACCTCTGCCATAATGCCATCAGGGTAGAGGCGTACGAAGCGCAAAACAGGCTCACGCAGTGTTACAACTGTCAGCAGTTCGGCCACGTTTGGGCAAACTGCAAGCAACACTCACGTTGTCTGTGGTGAGAAGGCGGCCACCTACACAAGGAGTGCCCAGAAAAGCGAAACTCTGCCTCCACTCCAACATGCTGCAACTGCAGGTTGGCGGGGGGAGACAAACCGCATCCCGCTAATTATTGGAGTTGCAAACATGCCGAGAAGGAGCAGCAGAAAAGGATGGCACAGAGAACACCCAAAACTACCACACGGAGGGTTCTCCTCAAACATCATCACCCCAGGTGTCTCCTTCGCGGCAGCACAGAACAGCGGCAGCACAGAACAGCGGCAGCAGCAACCTCAGGAAACCCTTGTTCCGGTGGCGTGTCCACCCACCACAAGAAAGCAGATTCTACCGGCCCCTGCACTGCAGAAGGAAACAGGTCAGTCAGTTCAGGCTCCTCATGTAAACAGTCAACCTCTCGACAATATGTTCAGAGTGGTGGCTGTAGTACAGCAGATCATGACAGAGTTCAATTGTGCAGTGTCTGAGGACAAAATAGTGGCCATTACAAAAATTGTATTAAACCTCATGAAACAAAATGGCCACTCAAGTTCACAGGCCTCTCAAAGTCATAGCATTCAATGCGAATGGCATTGGGAGACAGCACTATGAGCTCAGCAAACAGCTGCAAGAAGACATATCTGAAACCTCATGTGAGGTTCTTTATTCCAAATTACCTATTCTATAGAATCGACCGCCACTCGGGCAGAAAAGGCGGAACTGCCGTTGCAGTTAGAAAAGGCATTCCCCATAACCTTGTAGACCTAACACCCCTTGTTTCAGTAGAAGCGACAGAGGTTGCATACCAACTGGTAATAGTGACGTTCTGCTTGTAGCTGTTTATAAATCTCCAGGCAGAGCCTGGAGTGATGATGACATCACTGAACTCTTAAGCTTTAGACGTAAGTCTATTTTGGCAGGCGACTTGA